TATAACTAGCTAGTCTCATCAATTGATCGTACGTAGCAATTAAAAATAAGAATGTCTAGTTCAGCCCGTGTTGAAACGATCTCTTTAAGTCGACGCCTTTCATTCATTTTTCTGATTTTTTATTCTTCAGACTCAACTTGCACTCAAATATTTCATTCAAATTAAGGAACCTCGTTTCATTTTCCTCTTTCATTGTTCAGCTGCTGTTCTAGCTCCCAGCCATCGAGTACATGCTAATTAATTCATCTGATCACTCGAATAACAATAATCCTCAAAGAATTGGGTCGGAAGGCTCAAAAGGCAACTTAGAAGTTAAGATTCCATATAGAATTGCAGGAATCAGGACACCCAACAGGGAGTCAAATTGCTATCGAATAAGAAATGAACAAGTAAATTTGGGAAATAATCTAGCCCCCTTTTCTTCTCGTCGCCAACCATAATTTGGGAGTTCATGAACAATCGAACGGAACAGCAAAAGTATTTGAATAATATTATAAGTAATAATCACGATAAAAAAAGTATCATAAATATAACGAGTATAATTAATAGATCATTATATATGCAAAACAAAATTTATAAAAAAGTCACTGTTAGTAAATCATGCACATATGCTACGACTCAACTAAAATAATGTACACAGGGGTTACATGCACCACTGACCACTGCACATATATATACGTACATATTGAATGAAATGTACAGTCGTGCTGTCAGATGAGGGGCAGCCTCTAAGGTAGTGGCCGAAGTGAGGGGGATAATCTAATAGATGATAGGAAGAATGATGAATGAGGACCTTATATAAATTTTAATATTAAATTAAACATTTCAGTACTGAAACATGGTGAAAACAATATTGAAATTTGAAAACATTATTGTTAAAAAATTGTAATATAATATTAATGTTTTTACTAGATTTTTATTTATCATTTTCCCTAGATGATAGGCTCCTAAGCGGCCCTTTGAATGTTGACTCAGTGGATGAGGGTATTTGAAAGGGAACGGTCGATCAGTGACTCACAAGGAAAAGAACATGCACAAAAGTGGGCCAAAACAAAGGAAGCTTTTCATCTCGAGACATGCCAAATGGAGGGTGACTCAAGTGAAAGAACAGAAAGGAAAAGTCAAGAGAGCAGGCCACCACATATAATATACGTCTTTTATTGTACAAGAGACAAGGAGTAGTACACATACTGAGAAGCCAGGTAGGGTTTTGAAGACATCCAGAAGAAGCCCTTCCGTATGAGCCTAAAAGTAAAAAGCTCAGGGCACTATCCCTTGTGGCCTACAAATGACAATTTGTGTCCCCTGTAAATGACACCAACCTCAAAAGTTGCATTCCCTCTCGCTCGTAGCATTTCCTATGTGTCAGTGCCTACAACGGAAGAAGCTGTGAGACTTGTACCGAGGGACCCTGCCCCCCTCTTGGAAAACCCATTACGGCACTGCTAACTTCTCATGCTTCTATCAGAGTTCCCAAGTACCACACGATTGGCATCTCTCTTTACTCTGCACTGAAACTTGAATAATGCTGGATGATGCCGTACTTTGACTACAACACCTCCCTCCCACCACTCTTTCACTTGTCATAGAGTTACAAATAATTGAAAACTTGGCAGCTTCACGTGAAAGAGTGAAACTAGTGAAATATCTACGTCTATATATCTACTGCAATAATGGTTACCTGCTGCTGGTGTTCTATTATATACTAAGAATATATCGTACCTAGAATCCTGGTAGGGGGGAAATCCCAATAATGGAAGACAATAAGAATGCATGAAGCTGAAGGAAAATGCGGGTGGCCATCTCTGAGTTGTATGCGCACAATGAGCAATTATGTCTTGCCGTTTGCCATGCACGGAGAAGGGGTCATTTTAGCGAGACCATTTTACCAACACTTTTGGGGCAACACATAGATCAAAGAAGAAAGGAGGAGTTTTATTTAGTTTAACTTTTCACGGCATAAATGAACGGCTTAGGCTTAAATAGGGCTTGAAGTAGAAGCTTTTGCCTACAGTACCATGCACCAACCAAGCCTAAAATGGAAATGGCGTCGGCGACAGATATGGGTTTGGTGAGTGACGGGACATGATTAATTAACAAGGAACGTCGCATATGTTCCCAATTGCCACATTAAGCCAACTCTTTCGATAATGCGTTATAAAAATCCAAAGCAAATGACCGTTTTAGGATAAATTTTGATTTATTATGATACATTGATTCCATGCATATTTAGATTGAAAAAAATTGATTAGTCAAAGCACGTAATTGGGAAAAGCAGGGTGAGGTGGGGGAGCCAAGTGCGACGTGGTTAGTGGTTGGTGATGGAATGGAACGGAAGAATCCCTTAATAGTGACATGACACGTGGCTCCAAGGTATTGGCCCCTAAGTTGAATAACAGTGGCACTACGTGACCGATAGCTACAAACAATTAAACTGGGAGTTCTCGGTGATGTTACAGTTACACGTATGCTGGCATTCAACTATTTTATTGAAATCAATGATGACAATTAATTAATTAATTAATTATATTTTAAAATAAACAAATCACAATTTTACCAAAATTTAAAAATAAAAAAAAGATACAGAGTATATGATGAATTATATAATTTAATTTACAATATGAATAAAATTGAAAACTGATAACCACTGATCTAATTTAATTAGAAATCTCAATTTCAAATCCGCGGCCAAAAATCTTTAATATCATAATAAAAGCAAAAAATAAAAAAGTATAATAAATAACTCTCATTATATTAAAAGATTAAAAATATTTTTTAAAGTCGGGGACAATATTACACATCTCGCCTAGTCTCCTATGCTCTATCCACACACACGTTTTTAGAATGTCTTTCTTTTTCAATTTTTTTTTAAAAGTCAGTGTCATGCAGCATGAAACAATTTTACATTGTACTCCTCCAATCTTATTTATTAATTATTTTTATTAACTTCATCAATATTAATATTAAATAAAATTTTAAATATAAACTTCAAATAAAAAATAAGTTAATTATATAATATTATTTTTTTATCTTTCTTTCTCTCACTTTTTAAATATAATTTGGATATTTTAATTTAAAATAAAATAATTTCATCAATAAATAATTTATAAAGTAAATCTTATTATATTTTTAAAAAGTGATTAATATACTGAACCAAAGAAGTTGTGTCAAAAGGGGATTGGAGTGACAAATTTCATGGTTTTCAATAAGAGCAAAACCATCATATATGAAATTATTTTTTATTTTTAAAATTGTAACCAACACACACACATATAGGTTTTCAATAAGTAATAAATTCTTGCTGTTGTTAACCTTAGTCAAAATATTAACTGTTATCAAACGTCATCATTACATCAGCAAAGCATCATCATTTAGAAATTTTGACTAAAACTGACCATCCTTTCAACAACTGATTTTTTTAATAAAAATATTATGGAGATCTCGTCAATGGATTATAACTTTAGGGGGGAAAAACTATGCTATCATGTTTATTTTAATTTCCAAAAATATCTTAAAATAACGTCATAAAAAAAAACTTATATGAATTGTGATGTCAAGATGGAAAAAATCATACGAATGTTATAAATTTATAATGAATCATTGATTGAAAATGCACAGTAAAGGCAACATGCATTTGCCTTGAAACGTCACGCGCGTACCAAAATTGCAGTAAACGGTTTGATTCCTGAGACCCGCAATCCCGCAACGAGTACCACCCTTGAGCATTTCTACTCGTTAAAGTTACACAGAAGGCATCCCATAATCGGTGCAATCGCACGGAGCCATCCCAGGTGGGGTAAAAATGGTTGCATAGTATTGATTGGAGTTTCAAAAACAGAGGGCCTAATATAGAAGGTGAATTGAAGGAAAAGGTCGCTTTCTGAGCAAAAATTATATATTTATCCGCAGAGAAATGAAAAATGAAAGAAGAATGGGGGTGGAGTAGTCAAGTGATAAGCAGGGGACATCCACAGAATGAACGTGTGCTGGAAACCAAATATATGATAGACATGGCGCCCCCCACAACAAAATCTAGGAAATGGTGACGCTGTACCGCCCATCACAAAGACAATTCTTCTCCACAAGGTGCTTGGGTATCAGTATGGAGCAATACTAGGATATAGCAGCTGGATACAGATCACGGAGATGCAGATATTACGATCCTCAAAAAAGAAGGAGATAAGGTGCGAGAGAGAATTGAAGAGAAGAGATTCATCAAAGGAAAAAGAAGCAGAAGACGACAAGGCTTAGCCTTATCAGGTGTAGCGCTCAGAAGCTGCAAAGCCGGACGGCCCCTCTCGCACCATAAAGCGTCGTTCAAAATGTACAGCCACAGAAACAGGGATTAAGAAGGCTTATTCATTAATGGGAGCTTAATACAAACATGTTAGGGTTAGGTGGAGTGGTGGGGATGTGGGAGTGCTCCAAATTTTGTCACGTGAGAAGTAGACAGAAACAATAATAGCTGGATTTTGTTTCTGCAGTTTCAAACAGGGCCCTCCCCCTCGCCACATTTATTACTTCCACGTCCATCTCTCTCTCTCTCTCTCTCTCTCTCTCCGTGTTTCCATTCATTTCAAGCACTGTCCCACAGACAGTATGGAAAAAGGACTCTGCTGCCAGTTTTACTTGGTGATTCTGCTATATATCAGTGTGCAGACATCGACTTTCAGACTTTATTGTATCAAAAATAAAACTCTCAGACTTCAAACCAAAGCCTGTTCTATTATTTCACACCGCGCAGCATTATGGGAAGCAATTTGATGAAGAAACGTAGGTTAGAAAGAGGTGGAGGCCAATCATAAGGGGTGACTTTCACTAATTATACCATCATTGGGGAGAGGTCAGGATCTTACATTTTGTCCTGCGCCCCTTAATTCTGTCATTTCTTTTGTTTATTCGGAGGCGGAGAAAACGCACGAGAAAACGAAGACGCTCCTGATTAACACAAAGTGTTAAAATAACAGCGATAATAAAGCTAATGGAAGACTAATCAACATATAAACGTTGTTATTTTAAATTGAAATATTAGTTGTAAGCAAGTTGATAGTTATTATTATTATATTTAAATAAAAGATAATTAATATCTTATTAAAAATGCTTCAACCGTCCAAATCTCATCCCAGCCCTCAGGTCCGTTTTGCCATCACAATGCCTTTACCACGAAGTAATTAAAAGTTTTCTTTCCCCCTCAAATGCTATCATTAGAGGACAATGGATAATTAAAGCGGCAAAAGTGGGGTGGAAAATTATTGTACACTACAGTCCAATCGAACTGGGGACTCTCCTCTCGACTCCTTCCAAAAACGAATGGAAGGAGAAAAAATTGTGCTAATACCAACAACTCCGATCACTTCACTCCACACTCTGCTGAGTAGTGGGAAATATTAACGGGTCTGTCTCAAGCGACGCCGACTTGGTCCGCTCGTCGTCACTGATCACAATCTCTTGAAGATCACCAGAGTTGTGGTTATTCTGAGACTGAGGTTTTGTGAATGTAGGAAGTGAAGAATGAGCAGAAGCACAAGTTGGGGTTGTAGTGAGGTCTCTTGCCCGTCGAACTTGCTCTTTCCAGTCTGTTCTGCAGAGCACCAACAACATAAGTGCAGCGCAGGAGGCTTGGGCAGCAAGCAACCCCAGCCAGAGCCCTGCAAATCCCATTTTGAGCACAAATCCCAGAAGCATGGCCACCGGCATACCCACCAAGTAGAAGGAACCTAAGTTGATGTTAGCTCCGATGGTGGGCCTGGCGATTCCTCTCAGGACCCCACAACCCGTGGTCTGCGGGCAGTTTCCGAGCTCGCACATTCCGGCAATCGGCAATGCTATGGCCGTGAGCTTCAGAATCTCCTCGTCGGTGGTAAAGAATCGACCCCATTGATGCCTCATTAAGGTGGTGAAAAGCATGGCCGCCAGGCCTAGGCCCACCGAGCAGAACAGGGACACAATCATGGAAATGCGGGCTTTTGCAGGCCGGTTGGCGCCCAGTTCGTTACCCACTCTCGTGGAGACACCAAGGCTCAGAGATGAAGGGAAGACATAGACCAGAGATGTTGTTTGGATAAGGATTCCCATGGAAGCAATGGTCGCTTTCGGGTTCACCAGAAGCCCGCACAACATTATCATCAACTCGTACCACCACCATTCCAAGCAAACAGAGACGCAAGTTGGAACCGCGAGTGAAAGCAGAGACGCCCATCCCTTGAGACAGTCCATGCTCGGGGAAACCCAAGAATCTTTGTACACACCGGAGAAGCAAACGAACGAAGAGAGGAACAGGAACAGGTTGAGATTGGTCAAAACCATCGCTATAGCCACCCCCGCTATGCCCAGCTTGAAATGAACCACCAAAAGGAAACTTAGAGGAACGTGCAGGAGAACAGACACTGCAGTGCAATATGTTAACGGCAATGTGATGCCCTGAGTCCTGAGGTAGATTCGGAGAGGGTGAAGAAGTGAGAGGAAGAAGAGGTCTGGAATGGAAAAAAGAATGAAGGTTTGAGCCATTGATGATATGTCCTGGTCCTGACCGCACCAATTGAGGATGGTCTTCATGTTGAGCCACATGAAGGAGATGGGGATGGAAGTTGAGAGAAGGAGAAGGATGGTTCTTTGTAGTGTTAAGCCCAGAAGCTTCCATTGTTTGGCTCCGCAAGCTTGGCCGCAAATAGGCTCCATCCCCATGGCTAAACCAGAGATGACAGAGTAACCGGTGATGTTGGCGAAGCCGATGGAGAGGGAGCCTCCTGCGAGCTCCATCTCGCCGAGATAGCCAAGGAAGAGCATAGAGATCATAGCTCTCGAGTACAGGAGTAAACCGGTGATGGCGGTCGGACCTGATATCTTGCTTATGTCTTTGATTTCCGAAAAGACCTGAATGCGGTAAAAGAGAAGGCAGTAATATTAATGGGTATGTCATGTTATAAACCGAACACAAAGTAACTTTTTGTTCTCACGTGAGTGGTTACAGATAAAGCAACCAGTTTGGTAAATTTACATTTACAAAAGTAATATACTCAGGGGGTACCTCTTTCGGAGTTGGCCATCTGTGAAGATCATCATCATGATCAGAGGGAGGATCCATGAGTTTCTGGGGGGCTGGGAGAGGGGTTTTCGCGGGACAAAGAAATGGTGATGCTGAAGACGACGACTTCGAATTACACACGACTAGCTAACTCGGTTCGAGCTATAGAAGAAGCACAAGTGACAAGTGATCGTGCCCTTTGTGTTCGTTAATTAGAGACTGCAAGGGAAAGAGGGTGTTGTACATGGGAAGAAAATGATGGAAGGGACTGGTTTATATGCATGAAGCCTGGGGCCCTGCGAAGAGAACGTGTCGCTAGCTGAATCAAGTGCACAAAAAGTGAAAAAAATTATGCTATGCTATATATCTCAGAAGAAATTCTTATTTATGAAGTCGTTGGGTTGCCGACCCCGTCTGTAAGTGAGAATTATGTTACCATGTACTTAAAAAAAAAAGGAGATTTCAAAAAGTTGAAAAAAGTGTTTTTTTGGGTGGGGAGGGGGGTGGCATCTGAGGAAATGGCAGCATTTGAGTGCAGAGAGGAAACAATATCCTGAGGGCGGTGAAGCTGCAGAAAAAGCAAATGAATGTATTCGCTGAAATGGGTAAACAGCCGTCAAAGCGATGGAGGATGAGTATGGTGGTGTGATAATGACGGCTCTAATAGTGGTGTTAAGCATTAATGGGAGTGGATGATCTTTTCTAAAGCACCGTGTTTGGGTGAGGGTTTCTGTGTGAGGAACATAAAGAATTTTATCCCGAGACAGGGAAGGGGGGGAGGAATAATCGAGGGAGAAGCCAAGTCGGGCACAGTATTTTGTATTTTTTCCTTTTTCTGGTGGGACACCTGATGTGTGCGAAGACAAGAGGCATGCACACTAGTAATGCGGTTGGGCATATTTTGTACGAATATTAAAAACCCAATACATATAAATCATAGACTGTTTGATCCACAGTAGTTGGTTGCTGATTTTGAGGGCATGAGGGAAGTGTTTTTGCATGTTCTAAGGCAGCCATGCATGTTCCGTTCTTCCCCAGTCCACTCCCTTGTCCCGGCATTACTCTTCACTGTCTCTCTATACCTCCATCTCATCTCAACCGCCCAAACACCAACTTCTATCCTCTTTCTCTTCTTTTCCTTGCTCTAATCATTCACTCCAATCTCATGTTGCGCGCTCACATTACACGTTCATTTACCGTATCAGTACTGGTAATTAATACCCCATTAGGGCTTGTGTAAATCCCGTCTCATCTCATCCCATCACCCCATTCCTGGTTTTGTATGGTTATCCTGATGGATATATACATGTGTCATGATGGATGGGACCCGCCGAGTAGGGTTGAAGAGGGAAGAAGGTGGATGGCCATGTGGAAAAGAGACAGATGGGAGAAGGGAGACAATGGGGAGAGAATTACGTGCTTCAATTCCAACCATTGAATGTATATCTCTATTTGGGATGATGGCTCCGCGCACGCCACAGCATCAGCATTGAGGTTGAGGGAACGCAACACGCCACAAGCATCCATCCTCCCAACATCAACTTCTCTTTCACATTCTCATGATCATCCTTCAACGCTCATCGCTTTTATTCTGCTTCATTGAATACAGACCTATCTTCCTTCCCAGATTCCCGGCCTCGCTGTTGCTGAAAGATATGTATCGTGAAATAGAACCAAATGCTTGGAAATTAATATACAAGAAACAGCGTTGTTTCTCTTTGTATTGTTATTAAGCGAAAAGAGATGGTATTGGAATATCAAAGCTGGCATCCAAATTGGCAGGTGCTGCCGACTTCTATTGGAAACAAGTAACGTTGCGATAATGGCGTGCAAAAGTAGCGTCATCAATCAGGAAGACATCTTAAACCAAGTTGATATTAGTGGGGGATCACACACATTTTTCGTTTTCGGACATAACATACCTAAAATGCAAGTTCTGGATAAGAGTTACAAGACACAGGAATTAACTTGATTTGGGCAAAAGTTTATGCTCTTCTAGAAGCATGATCAGATTCCCTAATTGTATCCGTCTAAAACTAAACCTTTCGTACCACCATAGAAAGGTGGACGCATTTGCAGAACTCTTCCCTGCCTCGCCGGGCCATTCACTAGCCCTGGTGCACAGCAGTTCCTTGCCATGCATATATTCCGTCAATTTCAAATGTGACCAAAATATATCTATAATCTGGTAGCTTATATTGACTGTAATTCTCATTGAAGGGTTGACACCTCACAAAGTATGGGAAATACAAGTATTTATTGACAATTATTAATAAAACCCGTCATCCAAGAATTTCTCTTTTGCAAGTGACAAAAATTGGAGCATTGAAGCAAAGTCTCCATCACGGTTTCAATCAGCACAATTCACATATTCACTGCTGGCCACTAAGCACATTCTTCACACAGACAAAAAAATCACACGTATGCTATGCATAAGATTCCAATACATCATTGATTGAATCACCTTCGCACAATGAACACTTCATGCGGAATAATTCCAAATCAACAGTAAATCATCTCGGTTGGAAAGTATGCTGCCTGACAGTAGCTTTACCGCCTTCTGAAGATGCTCCAACTCCAGCTAATTTGCCGCGGCATTTAGGCCATGAAAGCAACATCTTACACAGGTGGGACTGATTTGCAATTAAGAAATTCTTCACTCATTGCAGATAATCTCTTGTGCAGTATTTTGTGACAACTTTTAGTGTTGCATGCCGGCTAGGATATCTAAAAGAGTAGAGCTACATGACATTTATCTTGATCCTTGGACATGAAGATGGAAGAGCATTCACCTTTCTTGCACTAAACAGAGGATCCGTCATGGTTTACATACCACAAACATTCTGACTGTTCTACATAGACTGTTAAATTCATCAGGATCTCCAACAAGGGAGCAGGTTCCCAAAAAATAAAATGCCTCAGAAACCTACAAGACTAAAAAATTAAGCAGCTTAATAATGACCAATAAGACGAAAGCTTAGCCAAATGATACAATTGTTCATTAGAAAAAGATTGAGAGAAGAGGGAGGTTTCGTGAAAGTAAGCTCACGAAAAAGGCTACAAATACAATCAGATACAAGCAAAAATAGCTATGTACAAATTCTTCCCACCTCTTTATTTATCGCCATCCCCCTTCAAAACTCAAAAGAAACCAGTGCCATAATCAGAAAGAACACGATACCTCAAACGTGGGTTCTTGCCTTTTGAGAACCAGAGCCAGATCGAGGAATAGCCAAGACAGCTATGAGTCCACTGATAAGGGCTGCAATAGCTGCGACAGCAAATGCTGGGGAGTTTCCACCACCAAATAGCTGATCCCATGGTCCACTTCCCAGAGACACCACTATCTGTTAACAAAAAAAATGTATAATTCAAGTAGCTCCAAAAATAGAAAATGTACATAAAATAGGTCCTCTCCCACATTGTTTACATTTTCACGGAAGATAAGTCATCATTAACTTAGAAATACACAAAAATATTAAATGGTTTAGATGGTGGACGAACTCGTCTGCATAATTATTTTCACAACCTAGATATAATATCTCAATTGAACTCTTCTGACAATCAGTTGTTTGTCAATGCACCTAGATTTTTGTGTAATCTGAGCGCAAGTACAGAATATCCCCTACAACAGTGCGTAACTTAAAAGGGCTTCCTCTACTTCCTATAATAGCTACTTTCAAGCTTAAGGGTCTTATTTCAATTATGTTCTTCAGCAGATGAATTGGTTTTCACATCCAAAATGACAATTCTATTTCCATGTTAACAGGAGGGAACTAATCAGATTAACATGATGCAAGTCAAAGTATCATGTATTTATTTGCTTTACTTAGAAGCAAACTCTAATGCTGCCTAAGCCTCCTCCATCACAGAATAGTCGTATTTGATAAATATTTAAACTAGTGTAAAATGAAGCATCCAAATTTCATAATAAGAATGTCACTGAATGACCAAGGAGCACTGGTTTTGCGAGCAAATGCCCCTAAGCTAGAATAATTCTTGTTTTTGTATAAATCAAGACATGTTAATATATTCTAATAAAAAAATATTTTAATATATTCTCAATCCTTTTTAGCTCTTTAGGAATTTCAGAGGATAGTAATCAGTTGATGGCTAACATGTGATGCTTATCAGGCGGTTTCTAAGGAAGTATCAAATGTTTAGAGAAGCTTGTCTGTTAAGTTCTACTCATTTATACACTTTCACTGAGGAGGACTTCATCCTCTTTTCCATGGTCTAAGAAGGCACGCATCTAAACCTCAATTATTCAATTATTAAAATTATATATTTTATCGAGTGACATGAGAGCCTGAGACAATTGTTCTAAAACCATGAACAGGAGTGAAGCTTAATTCAAGAAAATTAGGTTCAATTATTAATGTAGTTGATTAACCTCAAATTGGCACCTACTAAGAATAAAAATCAATTTCATCTAGCCTTTTTAGCAATTCAACACCCCCTTAAAAAAATCCAGAGAGAATGACACATTTAACTAAAAGGATATTATGGAATCTAAAAGCAAGGATACCTGAGGGATCACAATTGCCAGATTTAGAACACCCATTGACAACCCTGTAAGTATCAACAATCAACATAAACAGTTCTTTAGTCACATATCCAAAGAAATTAACAGAAAAGGGCCATAAATAGATGCCCACCTTGGCCAAGTCCCAAAGACTCAATATGTGCTGAGATTAAGGCATATGGTACACTGTAAGTAATCTGAAATAATCATTGTGACAAGTTAGTTTAAATCATATGTGTAACATGCACATAATATCCAATTTCTGCCCTCTATGGGGCCACTTCCAAACTTGCATTTCTGGCACATCATGGTAGCATAGAAACAATTGTGTAGAAGAGTAGAAGACAATGCAATAACAATGGACTAAGACCTTTCCCCTCTCAATTTGAGTCAGAGAACCACTAGGGCATTATATATTGACCAAAGAGAAAAATGTGCTTAGCAGCAGATTTGAGCAACTTACCGCCAATGGGAACCCAAGAATGGTAAAAATTATTACTGCTGCTATCAAAATGCCAATTGGTGGTTGATCTTTGCCAAGATAGCCAATACTATTTGCGACATAGGTTACTACAAGAATTGCAATAAAGCAGACAGCCATTACAATGTTTGAGATTCCCCACAAAAAGCCAGCTCCCCGTTTCCTGCTTAGCCATTCCATGAGTAATGATGTTATTGCAAGAACAACTGAGTTCAGCAATAAACCAAGTGCCCCCATTCTAACTCCTGCATCATAAGTAAGGCCTTGATTTGGATCACCACCATAAATCTCCCGACCCATCCAATCAGTATCGAACAGAATAAATGGAAACCATCCAATCCAAGTCAGTGCAGTAACAGACAGTATTATCCATATAGGAGCTGAAAAATATTTAAATGTCCCAAGTAGCTCCCACAGGAAAGCTTCTTCTGCACTACCCGACTCTCCTGCCCCTTCTTCAGTATGGGCTGCCCCACTCAAACCAAGAGGTACTTCCCGAGCTGCTGCAACACTGATATATGTGGTTATCAAAATGAAAACAACATCGAGAAAGAAAGCAGACTTGAGATTCGCACAGCTAATTTTACATGCAGGGGTAACAGTGAAAGAGAAAACCCTGTACCAACCACTGAACGACCCAGTTGCATAGCCAAGAATGTTACCAATAGCCATAAACAGAGAGAAATAGGCATTTGCCACTCGTGTCCTTCGATGATCCTTGCCTACCATTATACAGAAGAAAAGGTCAAGACAAGGAAGAAGAAGGACGTCAATGTATTGTTGCTTCACTAGAGTAATCACTTCCATTTCTCAATGAATTGCAATTGACACAAAAACAATACTCATGGTCTGCGTTTTCACCTGGTTTTCCCTCTCCCTTGCTTTTTTCCCCCAAAATGACCTATTTCTATCCCTAATTAACGGAATGAATAACTGAAGTATACAAGACACATGTCTGGTCAAAAATTACAACATGGAAGATATGAGAGTCTAAATTTTCATTCACAAAAGCTTCCCCATGATTCGAAGATTACTTTTGCAATTGCATTTGCACATCTGTGACAACTTACAATAACCAAAGTTGTAACACATTAAAATAGTTTCGAATGCACAGCATAAATATTTACTTGTGTTCTAAAACAGTAACAAACAACGCTTTTTAGTGGTTTGCATGAATTACAGGAAGGCAAAGAATAAAAATGGAACCTCTTTTTAACATCTAATGCCATTATTAAAAGAATATTGCCATGAAAAAGTTATTACCCCTAAATTTATGACTACAATAACATGTGAAGAGCTTGTTTGTTTGAACTTATAAAAAAAATTATTTTCATATTGTCAAAAAAATATGATTAATTGTATAGAAATTTTATGAAAAGCAAAAGTTATTTTGTGTTTGGTCATTATTTTTTTTTAAAAAAAAATAAAGTACTTTTTACTTCAAATTACTTCTTAAAATAATTAAAAGGCACCTAGAATAGCTTCTTAGCATAATATAAAATCTAATTTTTTAATTCTAATTATTTTTAAGAGCATAAAGAACCATCCTAAAAATTCTAAAAATTATTATTTCTTAAGGAAAAAAGAGTAATTCTTTTCATGAGAAGAAAAAAAGAAAATTTATTCATCACTAGAGAAAGCTTTTGTTTGTCAAGTTTGGTGCAGCTGTTAAAAAGGTGATTCTTTGTTGCAATTTTTTTCTTCCAAAAATTCGAATTTGGCACCTAGTATAACCCTGAATAAACAATTGTTGGTTTTAAATAGGCGACAGTCTTTTCATGTATCATTAGCAAAATTATAAAGCTGTTGATATATATACAAAATGCACATGATATTCAAATTGAGCACCAAATTTCGATTTGCAACATCATAGCATGAGTAAACTTGTTCAAAGTTTGAGAGATTTATAGTATCTAATAGATAATTTAGAGCAAAAACAACTATTCTGGTTAGATCATCGATCTGATACTTCTGTTCGACCTGTTCTTCAACATCAATCAAGTCAATGACCATAATGGGATCGAATGGGATATCGAAGGACAAATTATGCTTAAAAGATTCCTTTTTTGACAAGCCGAACTTCTCATTGAAGTTCCGGAAGGAAAGGTGCATCTAGCTGCTAATTCATGGTATAAAAAAGAAGAAGAAGAAGAAGAAGAAGAGAATTAAACATGATGCTACGATGCAGTGCAAAGAGGGGCAAGCATATACAACGCGCTATTATACTAATTCTGGTTCTGTGGACGAGACCATTGCTAGCCAAAAATATGAAAATCCGCTATATCAGTTAGATACATCAGTAATCATTCAAGTCAACTGATGGTGCCGAGTAGTGATGAGGAAGTCAGATGATAAATAATATGAAAAGAAGGGGCTTGATCTTTGTAGAACTTCGTCGGTTGCTGACACAAATTGCAACAGTGTGCAGCCAAGCATCCAGCGGCAGAGTACGGCTATATCTTATTTACAGAAAAGCAATTACTAAAGTAATGCTTCGTCTTCGGAAGCTATAGCGTTGCTACTTTAACACCGGAGGAGTTTTCCAAAAGATAGTTCAGTTAAGGCTTTCATTGTCTCATAAGTCACAACAAGCACATATTCAATTATTTGAAGGCAGAGTCCGAGAAGATCTTACCAGTAAGATCGGCAAGCAAAGCTCTACAAGGACCTTGAGTCATGTTGTTGGCCATGTCCAAGATCCAAAACCCGATTACAAATACCGTTATTGCTCTCGGCCGAGAATTCTCCGTATCACCGAGCCACCAACCAATGTCAGCAGAGTGACCAATGACCAGAACGGCAATAATGATGGACACTGCTCCGACTAGGATAAAGGGTCTCCGGCGGCCGAACGTGCAGGCGCACTTGTCACTCATGTGCCCCACCAAGGGTTGAACAAAGAGACCAGAAAGAGGACCACATAACCAAATTATGCTAGCCCACGCGTGAGGAATTCCAAGCTGCTGCACATACGGCGTCAGGAGAGAGAGCTGCAAGGCCCATCCAAACTGAATGCCTCCAGCCACTGATGCCACCCGAAATAATTGCCTGAGCGGAACTCTAGATCGAGCTGGAGGCCGCGCCGATGATGGTGGAGCTCTGGACCGTTGACGTTGAGATTGGGGATTCGGCATCACACAGTCTGGCACTGTAACTCAGCCCACCTCCCTTCCTGCTATCCAGTGTCCCGTTGCTCGAGATCAATTCCTCGAGGCGGTACGAAATGACAGGGAGAGAGGGAAAGAGAAGCGGCCGCTTCACAGAGCCTCGCTGATCGGAATATCAGACCATGGAACAGGAGAAGATGAATAAGCCAAGGGTGCCTGTCGACCAGGGAAGAGCGTTGTACGTATCGAAACCAAACCTCGTCCCGGCACGTATTTACTGATCCATCGTCGAACTGATTCAAACAGAAGAATTAAGACATCACTGTTTTGAATTGATGGGAAAAAGATTCGGCCACAAGGGGCAAAATCGCGTGAATGCGGTAAAATGACCAAAATCTCATGCTGTTTTGTTGGTTATTATTTTCCCTCGCCTTTTTTAGAGGCTCCTAACGCGATCGACCAAAGTCCCAGAATTGGCAAGTGCGAGTCCTGCTGGGAAACTGGTAATGAGAAATGACAGGCTTGCCCCTCAGCGCGAGCACACTGGCGTTAATGAGTAAAACGACAACGAATTGAGATTGAATTCTTTCTTTTTGGGGTCCAGCTCCAGAAAATATCACAAGGACGCGTGTGGAAGAATCAAAATGCTGAGTGGTGGCTCTTCTTGGCCAGCGATCAAGGAACTCTTATCCAACAGGCAACGGCTGTACCCAATCAAGTTCTAAATGTGGTTGTCGTTGAAGGACTGGAAAAAGGATCCCATCATTCCCATGTATCCTTCCTTCTATTATTATTTTCGGGCCGATGAATCCCCCGCATCCCTTCATCCTGGCTCGTCCTGTCACATGATGGAGAGCTAACCGTTATTGTTGTTGTTTGTTTGTGTCAGCGAGCTCAAGATTAAATTATAGTCGCTCTCTCTTAAATTATAAAATATTTTTAAATAAAATTTTATATATTAATAAATTTTATTAAATAAACTTAACAACTTTATATTTTTAAAATAAAATATAAATTTTTAAAAGTACTCATAATTTAATACTCCCTTCAGTTTAAAATATAAAATTTTTTTTAATTAACTTTAATTCAAAATATAAGCAACTTAATATATAAAAAAATGTTACCATTTTACTTTTTACATTTATTAATCTAGATATTTGTATGAGCATATCTCTCACTTATCATAAATTGTCTTGGTAAGTTAAAGTAGGGATAAAAAAAATAATATATACTCCCTCACTTAAAAAATTAAGGTATTTTTAATTGAATCTCACCCTCCAATGGAATAACTATCTATTTTCAAACTAACCCTATCTTTTTATATTTACCTCTATTAAATACCATGCAATAAATATAAAATCATTTATCAATAAGAGCACATTAGAAAAAAAACAATGATTAAACCTCAAAAAGTTAAAAATGCCTTACATTTTTAACATCTAACTCCTTAAAAAATACTTATATTTTTCAGCGAATGGAGTATTTTTATGAAAATGTGAACTTTATTGGTATGCTAATTTTTCCTAAAAACTACTTATATTTTGAACCAAAGGGAATACATTGAAATGAGAATGGACAAAATTAATTAGAGAGAGGGAGGATAATATTATACTAAACTTATTTAATAAAACTTTAATCTCCTAAAAGTATCTTATATTTTAAAATACTAAATCTCTCCTAAAAGTATTTTAAAATTTAGAGCAGAGGGAGTATTATCATTTTTTAAAATAAAATTTGTATTTAGTTTTCTTGATATTTGAATGTTATATAAATAATCTAATCTGAAATCACACTCATTCTGTTCTAAAATATAAATCACGTTTTAAGAAATTGTTATAATTAAAACACAAGTTTTTTATAAATTTTTTTTTAATTTACCTCGTTTTTTATGGCAGATGTCATCAATATGGTGTTACAATTTAATAAGGGAAGTTTTAGAAGATTCAGGCAGTTTTGAAAAATTCAAAATATTTAACTAGCTCAAGCAAGTCTTACTTCTTCTGTTTTTATATATAAAAAAAAAAATTATAACACACAATTTTAAAAAGTTTATTAATCATAATAATTATATTTAAAAATAAAAAAAATTAAATTAAAATACTTTATATTAATAAATACAAGTATGCATTAATTATTTCACGTTAATATAAATTATAAGGGGTGATTTAAGACACGTATAATACTCTCTTCGTTAAAAAATATAATATATTTTTTGAGGAGTTAGATATTAAAAAATGTAAGACATTTTTAGTCCTTCGATATATAATCATTGCTTTTTTTTTTCAAAGGGTGCCTTTATTAACAATGCCTTTATATTTATTGTAGGACATTTAATAGAGGTAAATATAGAAAGATAAAGTTAATTTAAAAGTAGGTAACTACTTTATTGAGAAGTGAGATTCGATTAAAAATGTCTTATATTTTTAAATGAAAGGAGTAAATGCTTATTAAAATGAATAATTTTGTTTATATAAAAAAATAAATAAAAAGTGATTGTAAAAATGAAAGGAATATTAGTTTGAGTTAGTAGTAATTAAGAGTTGCTTGTATTTTGGGACAGATGCGGTACTACTATTAAACAGTCATCGTTGCTTACTAATCGCATCCAATGACGAGCATGATAATGCCGGTAGTGATTCAGGGAATTTCCTAAACATAATTGCAATTATTCCATGAGGTGAGATATGTTACGAATTGTCACGTTTCACATGAGCGTGGTGATCAGTCAACGTTAGACAATTCCAGAAAATTTCGTAAAAACTGGTGAATCGTTATTCCATCAAAGTTTAATCGCTGTTTTGTTTTAAATTACAATTATAGATATATTTAAAGAAAAATGCTGGACCTGTGGACAAGGTTATGGTGGGTAGGTAAGGTGGTGAACTCACAGGCTCGCACGATGTCAAAACGGCAAGTCCGGAACAATCAATCCAGCTGTCATTAGTACTACTTCAAGTAGATTGATGCCTACTTCCGACCTCGTCCTCACCAAGTATCACGTGACCATGACCGAAACTAACTAGCATCATGTGACGCGCACTGATACAGCGATAGTATTGCAGTTGTTGAAAGCTGATGAAGTATGGATATAAGGGCTCGGTAAAACAAAATTAAAAAGATGCTCTGAAATGCTGAGCCTATGCAAAACGAAGGCACAGTAATCAGTATTATTGATGAGTACGTACGTGTGCCCCATATATATTATATGAATTTAATAGATAAGTCAGAACGTTAAAATAACATTGTATGGGAGATATCGATACATGGACACGGAGCATGGACGAGTATGCTTTTTGGTAAAAACGCGATACAAGCGCGTTCGGCCAAAGCAGTCGATGTCAATGACCACCTCATTTGTTTGATCACTTATTTTGTCCTGCCTCACTCGATCATTGCGTTCCACTATTCACTGAAAGGGGGGCATGATTTTTTTTCCTTAAAAATCTGGGCTCTTTGGTTTCTAAATCTCAACTTTTACTTTCATTCCTCGCGTCCTTGTCACCGCAAAAGCCACGTGCTTATTGTTTCCAATTCAGGCTTAAAATAAAACATATCCCACCACTAACCAAAAATGCATGCATCCTCGTCCTTGTTTTCTTTCTTTTATTTTTTTAGAGACGAGGAGTGATCCGGCCACCGGTGGCGCGGGATGATTTTTTTCTTAAATAAATCTAGGCAGTGTTTGAATTAGTGAATTTTGATTTGGGCTTTAGATTTAAAATCTATATATTTCAAATTAAAATTCATAAATTTTCAAGTGTCCAAACAAAAAAAAAATTGATCAAAATTCAAATTCATATATATTCAAACATAACATAAGGGTATTTGATCAATTAAACAGTAAAGTTTAATCTGAGTTAGGTTCTGGTCCTGCTGTGAAATTTCATATTCTTTTGGGCTCTGGATGTAACTATGTTGCTTGAGGGTCGTTGAGTGAAATTCTCCCGACTCATATGACCCCAGGCCTGAAGAAAATCAGACAGAGGGAAGGCCAGCTAAGCGTTTTTGGGTCCAATAAGGAGCGTAAAGAGAAAGGGAAAGGCCCAAAGACATGACCGACCCAGTGGCGAGTGCTCAATTCTGGTGTGGGAAAGAATATGGCGGCAGATGAGGCAGGCTACATGCCATGAGCAACATAAAGCCCCCCTCATAACATAAATCCCCACTCATCACTCTCTGGATAGCCAACTCACTCGCTCTTCAATCACTCTTTCATCTTCGTGCCTCCACTCTCCACTTCCAACCACAGTTAAGTCCCTCATTTTATACCTCTTTAGCGCTGCATCTCTCTTGTCGACTGTTGCTTGTATTGTAATCCTCCATTCACACCCTCCTCTGGAAACATCGTTTTATCATCATTGCTTTGTGTCTGGGAGTGCTTTCTACAGACTCCCTCCCTTTAAAATATATATATATATATATATAACTATCTCATTTTTTACTTCATTTTTTTATTTTAAAATCCAAAACATAATATAAACATTTCAATAAATCATATCATTCACAAGTTATAAATAACACGATCCATTAATTATTTTTCTCTTCTTTTAAAAATGCTATACTGTATATACCTGAAAAGGCACCAGCAACTAGTTTTATTCACCCTATCGATACTTCTCTTGATCCATCTCGCCGCCTAGAGTGCAAAAATTTAGGCTAGTTTAGCTTGAGTATGTCGGTCAAAGGGAATACAAAAAATTGGGGGGGGGGGGGATAAAAGCAGAAGCATCAGGATTAAAATAAAAGGAATGGACACGTGCGCAAGGAACATTGACTCGCATCACAGGACAGGCTCCTGGGTGGTGTGATTCGGGATTCCACGGCGGGGGCGGGACGCGGAATTCCCCCCACCGCCATGACATCAACGCAACCTGTGACATCTCCTCCTTTCTCCAGGTGCCTTTTCAAATTTATTATATCTTCTTCTTCTTTTTTTTTTGGGGGGGGGGGGGCCGGATTTCAAATTTATTATCCAAACTTCGAAAACTATTCCATCCCCGTTTCGATCAAAATCCTTATGCCTTAAGAAAGACGATCTTTCATTTTTATTTTATATTTTTTTTTTATAACATCTAACAATTCGACGGAGAAGCCATATAAATAGAACGCCATTCAGCCCTCTGGTTCCCCCAGCCAGAGCAGGCGCTATAATAACCATTAACAATGGCGGACAGGTCATACCACCAGAATGTGCTGGGCTCGTTTCAGAGCTTCTTCCACGGATGGCTTTCGCGCCAACAGGGCTTCCTCGACCAGCTTCTCACTCTCTCCCTCACTCCCGACTCTCCCCTCAAAATGCAGCGACAGAATGCCCTGATCCAATAAGTCCTCTCTCACTACCACCAATACTTCCAGGAGAAATCCAGACTCGCCGACGCCGATGTCTTCCTCGTCTTTTCCCCGACCTGGTTGTCTTCTTACGAGCGGGCTCTCCTCTGGATTGCGGACTACAAGCCTTCTCTGGTGTTCCATCTGGTGGACGGCGCCGTCGATGATTTATCGCCGGAGCAGAAGGTGACGCTGGAGCGAGTCAGGGACGATACCAGGAGGGAAGAGAGGGTCGTGACGGGCGCAATGGCGAGTGTTCAAGAGATCCTTGGAGGGCCGTCGATGCTGCAATTGGCGAGGCGAGTAGGGAGCCTGGTCGATGGCGAAATTGATGAGCTGGACTCCGCGCTGGAAGTGCTGAAGAATGCAATGATGGGGGTGTTGGAGAGAGCCGACGAGCTGCGAGTGTCGACGGCGAGTAAGGTGTTCGAAATTCTGAGACCTTCGCAGGCGGTGCAGTTTCTGGCGGCGGCGGCTCAGTTTCAGCTCCGCGTAAGGAGTTTGGGAACGCGGCTGGACTCGCGATTCAGGGAGGGTCAGGCTTCTTCCCAGTCCTGATACTTCTGGCCTGTCCGGGTACCTATCTGCGTGCATCTTGAGAGGCCAGCACCGTCACAGTGAGGATCCAAAGCCGTCCAGCCAGTGAGGATCAGTTGAGCTTTCTATCGCGTCTCAAATACTCACATTTTCGCCTCTTAACGAGTTTCCTTGACTAGGCTTGGAAACCGAACCGGTCGGTGTTTCTTTACCGGTCTACAGTTTTGTCCCCTCCCCCATTAAACAAAAAACAAAAAAGAAGAGGAGGAGGAGCAACGCAGCTATAAATATGAAGTAATCATTGATCCATTTTGTTACGCATCGCACATGTTTGCTTCTTAAAAATAAATATAAAGATTTTCGTTGATGATGTGGGCGAGTCTCCTTCAAGGTTGACTTGTTAGAAAGAACGCTTTCGATGATGATTATATTAAGTAAATGAAACTTGGTCCTCTGGAGAGCCTATTGGTTGCCTGGAAGGTAGAGCCTGGCTCTTGGACTCGAATAAGGCGACTTTTTGTTTTTGTTTTTGTTTTTGTTTTTGTTTTTGTTGGAGTGAGGCTAATGGAGTTCCCAGGAACAAGTAGCAAGGCTCTGTATAATTGGGCCTTTTATATAATTTGCTTTCTTTATACAACGGGCTTCTGCTGCTTGAGAACATCATTCAAAGTTTGATGCTGACCTAAAGTTCCAGACAAGCTCGCTAAAGAAGCATTATCTTGTTCTTTTCTTTTCGAAGTAGCTCCTAATTTTGTTAGGAGTTTAATTTCCTTTGACGTGTTAGGATCTCAATCCCCTTCTTTGTAATTTTCTAGACTTTTGGGCTTGCCCTCTTTATTACAAAAAAAAAAAAAAACAACTTTGATGCTGACCTCACATGTTCACGAACAAGCGTCACACTGTGCATGTTTAAATATTACTTGTAGAAAATAAAGTGAATAAATTTAGGTGAATTTTTAATAGAATCAAAATTTAAATATAATTGATTTATAAAAGTGTGTTTGATATGGAGATAAAATTTTAAAATAATTTTATTAAATATATATATATATGTGTGTGTGTCTAAAATAGGAAAGATACATCGTAACAAAAGTGCGATGAGCTCTCCTCCATCCCTCTCCTTCACTGCTCCACGGCCAAGTTGCTGACGACAACAAACCATGTCCACCAAATCAAAACAAGAACCCTGATGGACAACAAGGCAAGAGCAAGAACAGTATAAACAATCAATCATAGAGCAAAGAAAAAATCCATAATAAATCAAAACTTAAAAAAATGAAAATGACATTATTAGAATCCAACAAGATTGAGGACGATGGAGAGTAGAATCGAAGATTGGAGGTAGATCTTTGACGTAAAGGTTGCCGATGATGAATTGGTTGTAGATATTTTGGCAGAATATAAAAAAATTTAGATTCATACATATCATAAAAGTGAAAGCACGATTCTCGATTCCAATTCAATTTTTCTTGAACAACAATCTAATGTACCAAACATGACTTTATTAACTTAAAAAACCCATTTCACAAAAAAAAAAAAACAATATTCTACTTGCGCTGAGATTCAAGGAACAAAAATTGTCGAGTAAGTATTCAATAAAAATTGAGTTCACCTTCAAATTAACATCCAAACACACCCAACGACGAGATACTGGTGGCAAAAAGAAGAGGAAGAAGACAGCCTAATCGGTGAGTAGCAATTAGGATTTGTATTCCAAACTTTCCTCATATTCGATCACGATCAAGATCTCAACTCCAAGAAAAAAAATATGATTTGGGTCGGTTGAAATGATATCTGTCATAGAGTACCAAATTTAATTGCTGAGTGTTTTTCTTTTAAACAAAAAATCGAAACTATCATTGGCATGTAATAATACATGCAACGAGCGGAAAGAGGGTAAAGCCTACCAAGGCTGGAGCCGAAAGAAAAAAGCTATGGCATTTAGCACCAGCAGGAATCACTCCGAAGTAAAATTGGGCCTGATCTCGAGTTTTTCGTGGCTTGGTGGGTCGGTTATTGGCTTATTGCACCGTGTTTGGGCCTCTTGTTTGTGGTTTCTTCTCGTGAGTCGTGAAAACACCAAAGAAGACGAGGAAGAATAGCAAGAGTCGCTGGTTTGGTGACAATCTGACCAATGGACCAATGGACGAGCTGTTTGGTGACAAGGGGTCTTTACCGGACAATAACTTTTCTTCAAATACGAAAGAGGGGGAGATGATAAAGGACCAATGAAGTAAAGGAGACAAAAGAAACGCAAAAGCGGATCATTCTAATGAATAGCAATATAAGAGAACAATATGATATATATATATAGTATATTTTTATCACACACGCGGACACAACCCATCATATTCATAAAATTTAAGGCAAGTACACGAGGTTTAAAGGGACTCTGCTTCGCTCCTCCGCGGCTCTGCTGTATTTTAGAGAAAATTTAGACTGTAGATTTAATATTTTTATTTTATTTTGTATTTATTAAATAATAAATTTGTGTGGATGACCCTAATTTATTGATGATCTATATTTAAATATGATCCCTAGTTTAAATAGTTCAGCTTTAATATGAATGATTCATATAAAAAAATTTAATAAATCTCATCAGAGTTTGAACAATTTAGAATTTAATATGGATGATTTAAATTTATAAAAAAAATAATAAATATGATCACCAATTTAAACAATTTATATTTAATATAGATGGTTTGAATTTAATGTTAAAAAGTTATAGAAAGTTATAATATTAAATCTACACTATATATTTAAATAGTCAATTGATAATAACTATTTTAACATTAAATTTGAACCATTAATATTAAAATTGAACTATTCAGGTCAGTAATCAGACTTGTTCAAAAAAAATTTAAATTTTTTATTTTAATAAATATAAATTAAAATTAAAATATTAAATTTGAATCCAAATTTTCTTTAAAATGCAGCGGAGTTGCAGAGGCACCGGAGGTCAAAGGAGCAAAGCCGAGTCTGGTTTGCAAGGCTGTGGGAACAAATTTTAAGATCTAAAAGAAAATTATTTAAAAAAACCTGATGTATCAAGACACACTTTATAAAAGGATTATTTAGTGCTTCAAATAAAGTATTTTTTTCAATCTCATTTATAAATTACATTTTTAAAAAATATATTTGGTCTCATTTAAAAGTTATGATGTAATTTTTTATATAATATTTAAAAAATATTTTTAAAATTATCATTCACGATAGCGAAAAAATAATATGACATCACTTTTTTAATTTATTATATAAAAATATATTTAAAATTTTATGTACTTTTATTTTTTATATTTTTTATATTGATATTAGTAAAATTGGTGCAAACAACTTATGAAGAGTGCCGGAGAAGAATGGTCATTATTTCTATTTTTTAATTTTACCTCTTTTATAAATTAAATTTTGTAGGTTATTGTATATTATGTATCTCTTTTCCCATTTTTGACAGGGTGAGATTAGAAGTTTTTTTTATTTTAAGACAAATTAAATAAGTAAATTGTTAGTGTTATTTTATTTCCTTTATTATAAAAAAAAGTTTATTGTTATTCCTTGATTTTTATAAAGTAGCTGAAAGTGTTTATAATAGAGATGAGTGAGAATATTATTTATTTATCTTCATATCACTTTTTTTAATGTTGAATCACACATGATATAAGTAAATAAATAAATTTTAAATAAAAATATATAATTAATATTAATGGTTGACGGAAAAAGCACTGATCAATGAGTGATTTTATTTTTTTCGTAACTTAGGGCAAAATTGCCTCAATTGCTGAGTGTCACACGCCGTCACGTTCCAGTAGTATACCAGCAGTTATTATTATTATTTTTAAATAAAATAGTTATTTTTGACATTGTCGGTCTCCCAAACAACAAGCTTCCAACATTAGATCCGCTGGAGATCCTGTTTTGACCCAACTTTTACCAGGTGAGATTTACCAGCAAGGTGGCAATTCATTAAGCAGGCATTGCCATTTTCACGGTCGTTCCTTTTTTTTTTTTTGGGGGGGGGGTGTTTATGGGTTGGATTGTTTGACTAAAATTGCGGACTATCTAGAACATCTTGGAAATTTTCATCCACATACATTCATATCAAATATAGTAAGTAATAACATAGAGTATAATAAACAATCAAAAACATAAAATATAATATAATAATAGTTAGAACAGGATTTCACCCACAAAAAAAAAAAAAATAGTTCGAACAGGAAAACGACTCCTGTATATTTATTTATCTATATTCATCGCTTGGTTTTGTCTTGCCCTCTGGGGGCACGTAATTATTTGTTTCTTCCCTCTCCTCTGCTTCTTTCTTTTTTTATGCCCCGCCCCCTTGTTATCCTTTACGTCAATATTAGCTGTCAAATCTTATATATATATATATATATATATATATTTCCTTTTCTATTTTATAAAGTATATGTTAATTAAATTACACACATCGTTAAAATTAATTAAATATACTTTATAATTTTATTTTTTAAAATATGAATATAAATTTTTAAAATATTTATTATTTAATATAACTTCAATTATTTAGTATTTTTTAAGGCACGTCTTCCGTGAATCTCTGGCGGCCAGATTTGTTTCAGAAAAATGATTGCTAGTCTGAACTCAAACCCGGGGGCTTGCCGTTTTCAGCATTTTACTTCCTTTTTTATTCCGATTATTTTGTTTTAAAACTGATTTAAAGAATGTGATTAAAAATGTAATTTTAAAAATAGTAAAGACCCAGCTGTATAATTCCAAACTTATACACTCGATGAGTTCGAAATTGCAAATAAAATAGACATAAAAAGCACGTACTGTTATAAAGTTGAATGATTACATCATTGATTGATGAAATTAAAGGGTAGAAAAATACACACGTAAAGTTGTTTTATTTGCCAAATAAAAAAAGTATGAATTGAGCTGGTGATCTCATTTCCCTTGTCTCTTCCCAATCCTTTCTCCCCATTAACGATACCATGCTTTTGTGGCTTTTAATCTTCTTTCTCCTTTTTCTCGCTTTATAGATCATGCATGCTCAATCATTTGGCTTCACCATCTCAGACTAATTCAGTGCCTTTTTTTCCCAGGTGAAGCATGAATAAGATAAGGTTGCATGTTACCGACTCTTTTCTTCTCTTCAATTCTGTGAGGGGAAGGTGGGGAGATAAATATTGGACACCCAAATGCTCATCCTGTTCTTGAGTGGCCAAGTGAGGCCGGGATAGGATGTGAAAGAAAAAAGAATGCCCACGTATCTCGTTGTTCCCAACTGAATCTGATTCAATGAACACGTGGCTCAGTTCTCAATATCAGCTTCAATTTATTTATTTATTTATTTTTTGCGTTTCTGAGTTTCACGGAAATTGGTTTGATTTGATCGCACTCGTCCTCTGTGTCTTTCCACAGTTGATTCTATTTCGTTGATAAAGAGAGCAATTGACGATCCCCCGCCCTTTATTTTTCTCAAAGAGATACAGTTACTCTAAAACTATTAATATGATTTTTAAAATGCCTCTCCCGTCTTATAAAGTGGTGAGAAAATGATTTATTTTTATTTTCTTTATAAATCATATTATTTCTTATCACAAATTTTTTCTTTTACTGGAATGAAAATACTGGTGGAGGAGAATATGCTATTAAAACTAAAGTATATGTATATTTAATTAGAACAAAATTATGTTTATTAAATTTTTATATGGAGTTAATAAATTTTAAAAATTTTCTTAATATAGGGAGCGATGTCTAAAAATATAAAAAAAATGTAAGTTATATGTATATTTATTATAGAATAATGCATTATAGCTGGCTAGCTAATGATCACAATCCGGGTTTTGTGGTCAAGACAGGAGTGGAAAAACTTGCCCGCGCCCCTTGCATGCAACAGGTGTTTGGGTCA